AATCTGCGCACGATGGCTCGGTTGTTCGACCATCTGACAATGGAACAGGGTGTCGTGAAGCTACAGCGTCGTGTCGAGGGAAAGGAACCGGTGTTACTCCTCCCTCGAACGTACCGCGACGTTGTATTGAAAATGCTGCATGATGATGAGACCGCTGGGCACTTGGGAACCGCTCGAACGCTCGAAAAAGTAGAAGCGAGGTTCTTCTGGCCGGGAATGTCGAAAGACGTCTCGCACTACTGCGAATCCTGCGAGGTCTGCCAGCGCCGAGGTCGCCCGACACCAAAGATGCAGGCTGCGCTGCGAACAGACAGCTACTCGAGGCCATTCGAAAGGGTGGCCATCGATATCACTGGAATGCCCATGTCTGCGCGTGGAAACAGGTACGCTCTGGTAGCAATGGACTACTTTACCAAATACGTCTTCACCTATGCCATGCCGAACCAGACCGCTGAGACTGTGTCCGAGTGTCTCCTCGACATGGTACTGAGACAAGGAGTGCCAGAACGACTCCACAGCGATCAAGGGCGGCAGTTTGAGTCTGCAGTCTTTCAGTCCCTTTGCAAGCGCCTTGGCATAGAAAAGACTCGGACTTCACCGTACCGGCCGGAGAGCGATGGCATGGTAGAGCGATTTAACCGCACGCTCAAAGACATGACCTCAAAATTCGTCCAGCCACTTGGATCAGACTGGGACGATCACTTGGCATCTGGGGCATTCCACGATAGATCGTACCACTTTTTCCCAATTTGACACCCTCATCTCTCGGAATTTGACGAGAATTGGTCTCAGGGGTAATCAGGGGCTCTGAATCCACCTGTAACAATTTCAGGCTTATCAGATAAGTATTTTTTGAGTTATGGTGTATAACATTTTTTGGATCTTGCTTTGCAGCGCTAAGTTTGGCAGGCTGTAACTCTAAGACGGATTATTCAAATGCCAAATGTTATATAACATTGAACTTGCAATGAAACAGAGATTAATATGTATTTTTGAAATTTCGAAAAATACGCTATTTTTGATATATGACATATCGAGTTTTCTTTCATTTGTATTTTTTGGACTTTGGGACCAAATTTTTTTGAATTTTTATTTCTTTAAAAAAATATTAAGCTCATTGTCAAGAAGTATGCAAAAAATTAGGAAGGTGTTCTTTCTATAAATGTATTTATTTTACGTCACGATAACGGTTTCGAATAGTGATTTCGGGAGGGGAGCTTACAAATGGCGTGGTAAAGCTGCCTAGTGACATCACGGGTTACTGAAATTTCAATTCAAGTCTGAGTCATCTGAAAACAGTGAAAAGAGGGTTCATTCAACCCTCTTTCCTATAAGCGCGAGGGTGAAAAAGGCTGTTTGGTTCTGACATTGTTTTGGACGCCAATGACCATAGCTGTCCGAGATGAAAGTTACAGGGCGCATGCATGGTGTCCTCCAGAGGTCTCACAACTTGTATATCTGGGAATTTTTCAAGGTTACATGAGGTCAGGTCGATCACGTGACATCACTGTTATAAATCAATGGGGAAATATAAAAACTGTTCTTTTGGCGCCGAGAATGATCTAAAACTATCCCACGTACATGGTATCGTGATTTCATGCACTCCTTGCAAAGTCCAATGCTTTACTTTTGCATTGTTAACCTTGCGTGACGTCATTTATGACGTCACTAGGGTCGTACGAGTTTTTCGTCAATAACTCCCGATCAAATGGAGCTAGAGAGTCGGGAAAGCCACCAATGGACTCGGGAAGACCTTCCGAATCGAATGATATGCCATATGATACCCTTTGCCCAGCTTCGTGACCTGAGGGGCTCTGACCTGACCTTGACCCGAGGTCAACTACTTAAGTTGACCTCACCCTAGCAAAAAGTATACCATTCGATGCACCTGAGCTAGGCGAACACAATGATGCCAAAATCGCGGCTCTGCGGCCATTTTTTTGCGAAGTTATTTACTAAAAACCGAACCCGTAACTTCAGTCACGTGACCTGACCTCAGACGCTACCGGTTAACCTGAGACCTTAAAATCGGGTACCAATCGCTGCGACTTGTAACGGCACACACGGTCGTTTTTTTCCGCGAGGCTCTAGCTCTATAGAAGCGAAAAGGCGTGCTGGGGTCGTATCAACCCCTCCGAAACCCATTTTGTTTGCGGGAAAATGAGGAACTTATAGAAAGAACACCTTTTTAATTTTTTGCATGTCGATTTGCAATGACATGAAGATTATTTTGAAAAAATAAAAATGTGAAAAATTTTGGTCCCAAAAGCCATTCGAGGCAAATGAAAAAAAAAGATTAAGGTTTTGCTCAGCAATGAAATTTTTTCTTTGGAATTTTTAAATAGTAATATTAATTTTTGATTCATCGCAAGCTTAGTGTTGTTTACTTTTTGTTGGTTGCTTAACCCGTTCTTGAGTTATAGGCCATCAAACTCACCGTTTCATACCGAAGTTAAAAAAATGTAATGCAATATAACTCAAAAAGTTTTGATCTGAGAAGTCTGATATTTTGCCAGGCGTCTTTGGGGCCTATGATTACCCCTAGGACCGATTTTCATTAAAATCTGAGAGATGAGGGTGACGGGCCTGGTACGATCTATCGTGGAATGCCCCATCTCTGACATTTGCTTACAACACGTCCAAACACTCGGTAACAGGGTTCACACCGTTTTTCTTGGTACATGGACGCGAGGCTCGATTGCCAGTCGACGAGCTGTTCGGTGCAAGCCGCGACCTGTCAATGGTCGATACCTATGTCGACAACAAGCTTCGTCAACTCAGGGTTGCCTACGCAAAGGTACGTGAAAATATCAATGAGGCCGCTTCCGATATGACAGAAGCACGGAGCGAGTCATCACGAGAGATTTCATACCTTCCAGGTCAAAAAGTGTGGGTTAGAGACCATACTGCCAACGTTGGAGGCCAGCAGAAGCTGGCGCTCTACTACAAAGGTCCAGCGACGGTGGTGCAAAAACAGGGTACCGTTGAAGAAGGTGTCACTTACAGGATCAGAATGCCGGGAGGAAAAGAGACAAACGTACACCACAACCACCTGAAGCCTTTAAAAGCGAGAGAGACGCACGTCCCAGATGCTCCTCCGGCGATCCGAAGCGCCAGCAAGGGGCAGTCCGACCAAAACAAGCAAACTGAGAGCAAAGAACCGAGCATGGTGTTAGAAGCGGACAGCTCGTTTCCGACCTTCGCGTGGATACCTGAGGAGACAGCCAGCGCACAACAACCAGGACAAACTTCGAGTCCATATGTCACACGATACGGGAGGGTATCCCGGCCTCCGGTAAGGTACCCCGACCTGTGAATACGCTTGTGAGTGATTGCATTTAATGTCATTGTCAATCCTTCAGCATCTCTGTGCAATTTGCCGTAGTAATATTCATAAACAAACACACGTCAGACTTGTTCGGTTGTGTGTGACCAAAGTATGCGACATGTTCTGAGCTAATGTGTCATCGGCAGGCCTGAACCTCGAGGGGGTGAAGCGCGAGTTGGCGTCCCATCGCTGAGGTGCAGATGCGGCGCTCGATTTTCGACGCCGTCGCCGGCGCAGACGTCACCAGCACCAGATGTCGCCGGCGCAGACGCCACCAGCACCAGATGTCGCCGGCGCAGATGTCACCAGTACCAGATGTCGCCGGCGCAGACGTCACCAGAGCGGACGTCACCAGCACGAACGTCGCGAGAGCAGACGTCACCGACTGCAACGCCGCAGACCGAGCAGCTGATGCCACAGCTGCAGCTGATCGCGGCCTTGCCGGTGGTCGAAGCAGCCATTTCATCGCGGTGCTTTACAGTGCAGAGAATAAGAGACATTTTATTTAGGGGGGAGGTGTGTTAGGATGTGTTAGTGCACTGTGTGCCCGGTGCCACCTCTCGGCGCGCTGCTGGGCGCGCCACTGCGGACCGCCTCCCGCTGGGCGCGCCGCTGCCACCGGCGGCGCGGGGTCACGGCCGCAGCCGGGGGCGGCGGTCATTCTGGACCTGGGGCTCGCCACGCGTGCTGCTGCTGCTGCTGCCGTTGTGATACCCGACCTAATACATCACAAATGGAGACGCTGCCTTTCGACCTAACACGTTCAATGCCGATTGGCAAACGGCCGAGGTCGTGCGCTGGTCAGCACGCAGAGAGGACGGGACGCGGTATTGCACATTGTGAGTGACCTCTGACCTTTCCCCGTCCCCTGGCCGCATGCCGTGTCGCCGGCCCAGACGACAGAAACCGGTTCTAGCCTCTACGCAGGCTGCCACTCTGACCCTTCCCTCCCCACTTTACTATGTGTCGTAGTACGCACTCGCGAGTAACTGGGCGGAGCGAACGGTCACCGATACAGAGGCGGAACTGGTTGCCCTCCCGCTCGCCGAGCCACCCACCGCTAAAACCCGCGAGACCTGTACTTCTGTACTTCTTCGCTGCAGGAAGTTCTCAGCAAAAACGTTTTGGTGACCTTTGATTACGTCACAGGAACTTACAGCTGTCAACTAGCAAAAAGAACACCAGGTAGTCAAGGTTGGTCATGAATGATATCATTCATATAATTGGCCATATAATTAATATAATTAATTAATATAATTAACATATAATTAATTACAACGCGTTTCAGTGGAAAAATAAGGCATCTAATTTTTACCCCATTGTCAATTATAATGGGGAGATCAAGAAATTGACCTGACCTTGGCCATCGATAAAAATCCGAAATATATAAATTGCATGTTACTATAGCCTTATTACATCCTGCAACATTCAAAGGGATAGGTCATCTACTGTAGCCTTCACACGGTACTGTGGCTCTCACACACGGTGGATAAATATCAGGGGGCGGGGATATCCGCTCTCCGTCAGTGCGCGGGTTCATATCAATCACTATGCTGTCATCCATACTCAAACATATAAACATATAAATTCTTAGGGAGTTCAGTCAGTTAGGACACACTGCCGACAGTCGGTTACGGCAGGACACACTACCGACAGGCGGTTCAGCGCGTACTTGCGACTGCGAAGAGGACGTGGACGTTTTGCCCTTCTTGGTGCTCTTCTCCTTCTTGATTCGCTCCTTCTCCAGTTTTCTGGCCTTTTCCTCGTCTTTGAGCCGCCTTCTTTCGTCCTCCTTGAGTTGTCGCTGTCGGTCCTTGCGGCGCAGTTTCTCCTCCTTGGTAGCAGCGGCCGACTGCGAACAGCACAGCGCCAAACGTTAGAGCGACACCACCGACGCCGTGCGCTCACAGCAAAAGGCGGCCGCAGAGAGCCAAGATAACCTTACATTGGGAAAGCGACTCTTGAAACCAGCAATACGCCTTTTGTGGGGCGATAAATGAGCGAGCGCGAGTGTAAACTGGGTCTAGCTACTGTTTTTTACGGCACCCTAATCACCCGTCGCTAAGGCCAATCAGTCAAGCCGTTCTCCACATCTGGAAGCGTCCCTAATGGTTTCCTGTACTAGTCTTTCCCGGGGGGGGGGGAGGGGGGGACTTAACTTCACATGTGATGATGTGACAATCATCGATCAGGGTTCGACCACCTAGCTTTTGGCGAGCAGTGATTCTGAAATGGCGCCCCGAAGGCTCTTGGGCCCCATGGCGACGCACGGACAGCGGTAAGCGGCGTTCGAAAGAACGCCAAAAGTAATGACGAAATTACTTCGGTCACTTTTTAGCTCAGGTAAAAAATCAGGTCATCAGAGGTCATCGAAGGTCGAATTTCGCAATTCCCAGGTCAAATTTAGAAAATGTATAACGGCCATAACTCGGAAATGAATACAAGTAGGGGAGACCGGGGCTAGTTGGTGCAAGGGGTAAGTTGGGACGGAAGGGATATTTCCAATACTTCTCGACAGTGGGCGTTCAAACTTACAGGGTGGAAAGAAAAATATGTTTTGATTTTAACAGCCCGTGACATCAAAGCGAGTAGTAATAGCTCAAAAGGAATTAGTGCATTTGAATCACCTTTTCTGGAAGTTTTATACCTGGTGTCATTCACACTCTTTCTCGCTCCTGGGCGTCCCCCATAGCACGTGTTCTGAGTAACCCCTTTTTCGCAGAATTTAGAGATATGTGTACCGCGCAACCTCCGAGATTAATTCAGCGCACAAATCGGGTGGATTCTACGTGCGACCTTCCAAATCGTCTTCATCACGTTCGGGAGACTCTCTGGGCTCATGGCTGGCACCTGTGATTTCATTAAACCCCACAGATAAAAACCAGGGGCGTCGGGCCTGAGAAGAGGGCTGGCCATGAAATTTCGGCTTTTTTGACCTGGTCACGTGCCCTCTAAAGTGTTCCTCCGGCCAGGAGAGGCTCGCTCTTTATGTGCTAGATGGAGCCCCGTCTTTTTTGGAAACAGTGTACTCAGTTACACCCTCCAGAGCTGTCACTATCTAACGCCCGAGCCTTCTCAGCACCCGAGCGTAGCGTTCCTTGTTGACGGTGACCGTGGTGCCTTTCGATGTTTCGAGGGAAAACGGTCCGATGAGACAGCCGGTGGACATAACACATCATTACGTCAATGTGAGACTGTGCAGAGGGCTCTATAACGTTGTGCCCAGAGGGAATGAAGCCCAAACTTGACCGTTCTGGGTTGATTTTACCGCTCATTCGGACCGTTTCCCTCGAAACATCGAAAGGCGCCACGGCCACCGTCAATAAGGAACGCTACGCTCGGGTGCTGGAGAGGCTCTAGCGTTAAATAGTGGCAGCCCTGAAGGTTTTAACTGAGTAAATTGTTTCCAAAAAAGACGGGGCTCCACCTAGCACGTAAAGAGCGGGCCTCTCCTGGCCGGAGGAACACTTTAGAGGGCACGTGACCAGTCAAAAAAGCCGAAATTTCATGGCCAGCCCTCTTCTCAGGCCCGACGCCCCTGGTTTTTATCTGTGGGGTTTAATGAAATCACAGGTGCCAGCCATGAGCCCAGAGAGTCTCCCGAGCGTGATGAAGACGATTTGGAAGGTCGCACGTAGAATCCACCCGATTTGTGCGCTGAATTCATCTCGGAGGTTGCGCGGTACACATATCTCTAAATTCTGCGAAAAAGAGGTTACTCAGAACACGTGCTGTGGGGGACGCCCAGGAGCGAGAAAGAGTGTGAATGACACCAGGCATAAAACTTCCAGAAAAGGTGATTCAAATGCACTAATTCATTTTGAGATATTACTACTCGATTTGATGTGACGGGCTGTTAAAATCAGAACATATTTTTCTTTCCACCCTGTATTTTGCGCATGCACAGTAACGACGTCTGTTTGTCAACGTGGTGTCGGCGCGTCCTGAGGTAAGTGCTGTTGCTGTTAATAATCGCTAAAATGTGTTTTCAGGTACCAAAAGTGATTTTCTTGCTTTGAAAATATTCTCTTCTACTGGAAACATTGCAAATTCGCTACGCCTGAGAAACCTGCGGACATTTTTGCTAGGAGTACACTCTCAACCGTTCTTCGCCAAATCATTGTGAATTGGTCACGTGGTTCCAAAATAAAAATGGCGCTTCGGGACTAGTTGGGCCAGGTTGATGTGGGGCAAGTTGGGCAAGTTTGTCAACAGCAAGTCGAGGGAGAAATGCTTGCAGTGTGAAGATTGGGCACATACGCTATGCACAGGAGGCAGCAGAGTCTTCATCTGTCAAAACTGTTACTCGGAGAGCGAATGAGTGAGGTTGGTGGTGCATTTTGTAAAAGCACCTGAAGCTGGTCATACACATTTTGCGTGTGTGCGTTTTTGTTGCCGCAGGAGTACTGCAAACGTTTGCGTTTTGTCATTAAATGTTGATAAACATGCCCGCATGGATTGGCGATGACTGTTCATGTAAAACATGAATACAAATGTGTTTAGATAAACTGTTTTTCCTAGTGCACCAACTAGCCCCAACCCCTGGCCCGACTCACCCCGCCCGCGGGGTAAGTTGGGACATTGGAGGATGGTCGCTTTGATCAGATATGACACCAAGACGATGCTACTATCTCTCTTATATTAAGTCTTCTTTAAAAGATAAAGAAATAAGCTTTCAGTTGATAGCCAACAAATAATGATATGTATAGTTATACCGAAGTTATGACGCTTCAAGTAAAAACTGGCCCAACTAACCCCGGTCTCCCCCACAGCGTCCCAGAAAAGCGAATTCGATAGACCTGTTAAAACCCGCGCCCCTAGGGGGGGGGACGAAACGGCCCCCCCTGTACTTTTCGGTCGATATCTCCTAAACGGCTGGAGATATCGCCACCAAACTTTCAGGACCCCTCCGGGCATCAATTTTACACATTGTGACCAAAATTTTTTCCAGAGGCTATGATAGGTTGGCCACAAATGACGTCAGAATGACGTCATGTTCTGTCATTTTCGACCGAAAAAAGACCTTCGCGAGAAGACCTGTCAGGCCTACAGCTTTGAAGATACAGAAAAATGATCAAGACATAAAAGGTGTAGAATTGACAGAACTACAAAACTGCTATCTCGGATTTTTGAAGTTTTTGAGTTTTGACCCACAAAAAACAAAAAAGCATTTTTTGGATATTTTAACCAAAAAATCCAAAAAGTTTTTTGAGTTTCGAAAAAAACCGGAATATATGTAATAGCACCTACTGTCTCCTATCTACATACCAAATTTCAGATCTATACCTCGTTTTTTGGCCAAGTTATAGCGAAAAAAACTGTTCAAAAATGATGACGTCAAATTTTCAAACCCAATTTTTGGCAATTCTAGACCTCGTAGAGCAAAACAAAGACCACCATTAGACTCCCCGTGACGAGCTGCATCGAATCGATACCCATTTTATGCAAAAATATCAACTTTGAAATTTGACCTCATTTGACCTGACCTTGACCTGACCTTCACCAAAACGTGACCTAGGCTGGCCCCAAAGGCTGCCTAACCCACATAATCGCATTTGTCATGTAAAATGGACCATAAAACATGTATCACACGACACTTTCATATTGTGACCCCGGTGACCTGACCTCGCTGTGACCTGACCTATTATCAGTGACCTCAGATAGCAAAGTATGTGTTTGACGAACAATGTACCATCGATGGTTTTCAATAAATTACCAATTTACTCGATTTCACAACACATTTCTTGAAATGCCTGTGAACGGTGAAAGTCTGACCTTTGACCTGACCTGTGACGTCATCGGTTTGACCTAGGTCAATTAAATTTGGTCACAAGGTAGTTCCCGGGTGGGGCTATCGAACACCGTTTGAATTTTGAAAATCGGCCGGTAAATTTCCGAGATCTTAGGGGGGGGGGGGGGCGAAACGCCCCCCCCCCCCACGGGTGGTAGGGTCCGCCGATAGCCCTACGGGGCGCGGGTTAACGCTCTTTCTGTGTAATTTCTCAGGTTTGACATAAGGTCAACGGTTTAGCCTGCAGCGGCAAAAACTGCAAAGAAGACATTTTTTGCGGAAGTTTTTTTCTGCAATAATTTTTGAATTGCAATCACTTGCACGAGCTTACTTTTACCGGCATCGTGTTCCTCTGGTCGAAACCCGTCGAATAAACTAGGTATAATATGAAATTGAAAGGTACACTTGAAAAATTGACCTCAAGTGAAGGTCATGACCTGACTGGAAAAGGTCGTGTTTCATATCAGTGGATCCTTATTGTCGAACTGGACACAGCTGAGACTTTTTCATCACTCTAGCATGCATTCACCAAAAGTTATCACTTATCAGCGAAAAAATGTTAGATACTATCTATGACCTGAGATGCCCACAGGAAGGAGTCATATTGCGATTTTTTCGGCTAAGTGTGTCATGTTTGCTTGCAATTCAGTGTTTCCGAGTGTTAAGAATCAGGGGCGGATCCAGGAATTTTCGGGAGGGGGGCGGCAAGTCAAAATAGGGGCGACTTGGCAATCTGGGGGCGCTTCATACGAAGGGGCGCCAAACCGTCGTCAAAATCGAGAGTAGTCGAACCCGCGCCGTGCTGGAGGGCGCTGTCATGCTCCCACCTCAGGTTTTTCGCAAATATTTGAAAAACAGCTGCGCGCAGCGCCGCCGTTTTTAGCACAACTTATCATGCATCTTTTCTGCACATGTTGTATAAATGTCAGACCCGGGGCATGCAACGGCACGTCACCAGGTCATGCCAAGTGACCTAACCCCAGAAAGTTAAAAGCTCACCATTGCTATACCGACTGATCGGTCGCTTTGAAACTGTCAGCGATTGACGAAAGCAACAATAT